TTATACTATTCCTAATAATATTAAATCATTCCTTATTCAGTTATATGAACAACATCCTAATAAGGTAATATTTAATATCATCTGTAACTTATCTGATCATAATGTAGTAACTGTTCTATTTGTGCTAGATAAGTCCCAAGAGATGGTAAGTAATCCTTTTAAACCTTCACATGAAATGTTATTGATATTACATAAGATAAAAGATGTTCTTAAGTGTAAGAATAAATTGGAAAATAGTAATGAAATATCAAGATCACTATTAGAGAGAATAGACATACCTATATTTAGGTTGGCCTGTAAACATTGTATAACTATTAATGATACTATAACTAAGTATATTATTGAACATTTATCAACTATTATTAATTCTATTAATGAAATTAGAGGAAACAATAATGTCTTTAAAAATACATTGTTACTTCACACTCATCTTACTGAATTAGGAGTTAAAGGATTTTACTTATTAGAATATTTATCATTGAATTCTATGAAATACAGGGATTCTAGAGCAGTGATAGAAATATTGACAATATGTTCAGCTTTATTTGATATTAAAAAAATCTCAGAGTTAACTGATTACTACTTAAATATTTTCAGTAATGAAGAATTAGAAGAGTTGTATAAAGCAATTCCAATATTGATAATTAGAAATCCTATTATATTAAATAGAATACTTAAATGTAATAACAATTCATTGAAGTTTAAATTGTTTCCATCAGTTTTAAACTTAATAGAAAATACTTATTTGAATAATCAGGTGTTTGATCTTAACTTACTAAACAAATCTTATAGGAAAGGGTCTAATCTAATTAACAAGGATAACCAAACAAATAGCAATGATAATCAAATTGAACAATTTAATATAAGTTTGAATGACAATGTTGAATTTGTTAATTTTAACATGACTAATTCAGAATTTCTCGACTATGTTTATATGAACGGAACATCTTATTCTTATACAAATAATGATATTTTTAATCTCGATCTGTTAGTTAAATGTGCATCTGGTAGTAATTTTAATGAAAGTGTTAAAGTGAATATCACTAAGATAAATAATAATTTAGATTCATTGAATTTAGATTCTCTAATTATATCGTATTCT